AATACCTAACTCCAGGGAAACATCCTCACCTGGGGAAACAACCTTTCTTGGGGAGGTGGCCCTCATAGCGCTAAGAAGGGGAGCGAACATATTAAGAACAGTATGCCAGGTCCCTTGAAACAGATGCTGGGCAGATATTTCTTCCCTGTAGCGACTGTGTCAAGCAACAAGGATGGACCGGCCTCCAGCAGTGCTGTGTTACAAGGAGAACGGTTTCTTATTGAACTTACGCAAAAAAGCAATATTGCCATGAAAATAAGAATACTCACTGAGAATTTCTGAATTCTGAAGAGATCAAGTAGGAAGAAAAAGATGTTTCGGTTCTGTTTATAAAGGTATGATTTACCAAATTGCTATAAGTCATAGTTAATGTAAGAGGAAATTTTCTTATATCTGGAAAAAAACAAACAACTAAAGAGCTAGCGATGTTTCAAACAAGAAGTCTTAAAATTGTAATCATCCTCAACAATTCATTCAGTCTCATGTAATTAAGACTTGTTCTGCTTGAATCCAATTTTTCCATTACTTTGTAGACCTGGCCTGATGATAATTCCAAGAAGTTTGGAAAACTTCCTGTCAAGGTTTGTATGATTTTCTCAGTGAAGTGATTGCTAGAGATTGTGGAAGGTATACCCCACGTGGGAAATACTTTTTTCTAACAGTTCCTTTGCCACTGTGAAGGTGTCAGCCTTGTGGCAGGGCAAGGCTTCAATCCATGTGGAAAATGTACATGCAACAAGAACATATTGCGGCCTGGCCAGCACAGCTGTGGTTGAGCATTAACCTATGAACCGGGAGATCATGGTTAGATTCCAGTCAGGCCATGTGCCTGGGTTGTGGGCTTGATCCCCAGTGTGGGGCCTGCAGGAGGCAGTCAGTCAATGATTCTCTCTCATCATTGATGTTTCTATCTCTCTCTCCCTCTCCCTTCCTCTCTGAAATCAATAAAAAGTATATGGCCCTAGCCATTTGGGCTCAGTGTATAGAGCATAGGCCCATGGACTGAAGGGTCCTGGGTTCAATTCCGGTCAAGGGTACAAACCTCAGTCACAGGCTCCTGGCCCTGGTTGGGGACGTGTGGGAGGCAACCAATCAATGTGTCTCTCTCACATTAGTGTTTTTCTCTGTCTTTCCCTCTCCCTTCCACTCTCTCTAAAAATAAATGGGAAAATGTCCTTGGGTGAGGATTATAATAATAAAAAATAAATATATATTTTAAAAAGCATATTGATAACTCATACTAAGTGGCAGTTGAATGAAAGCCAGCTTAAGTGCACTATGGTGGATGAAGAGATGCAAAAAATAAA